CCGGATCCAACCCTCGAAATCTCCCATGGCATCACCGTTCTTCTTTGTCAAAAAGAAGGACGGCAAGCTGCGCCCGGTTCAGGACTATCGGAAGCTCAACGAGATGACAATCAAGAATCGATATCCGTTGCCTTTAATCGGAGAGCTCATGGACCGGTTGAAGAACGCCAAGTACTTCACTAAGTTGGACGTACGCTGGGGGTACAATAATGTACGAATCAAGCAGGGAGATGAATGGAAGGCGGCCTTTCGCACCAATCGAGGTCTCTATGAACCATTGGTAATGTTCTTCGGGCTTACCAATTCGCCCGCCACGTTCCAGTGGATGATGAATGACATCTTCAAGGACCTCATAGCCGCTGGAGAGGTTTCCGTATATTTGGACGACATCCTCATCGCCTCCAAGACTAAGGCGGAGCACAGGAAAATCGTACGAAAGGTTCTCCAAATTCTACGAGAAAACCACTTATTCCTCAAAGCGGAAAAGTGCGAGTTTGAAGTAGAGGAAACCGAGTATCTTGGGGTAATTATCAGTGAAGGGAAGATCCGCATGGACCCCGTCAAGATCGCGGGTCTCTTGGATTGGCCGGTCCCTCGAAGGAAACAAGAGTTGCAGTCCTTCCTCGGGTTCTGTAACTTTTATCGACGGTTCATTCGCGATTACAGCAAGCACGTCAGGCCCCTGACGATGCTGACCGGGAAACAGGAGTGGACATGGGGGGAGGCACAACAAAAGGCATTTGAAAAGCTTAAGGAGCTGTTCCGTGAAGACGTGGTACTGGCCATTCCTCTTGATCGGGGGCGGTTCCGAGTAGAGGCAGACTCGAGCGAGGGAGCGATAGGAGCTGTACTTTCTCAGTGGCAAGACGAGAAATGGCGACCAGTCGCTTTTCTCTCTAAAGCCCTTTCGGTTACAGAGCGTAACTATGAAATCTACGACAAGGAGCTTTTGGCCATTATGATCGCTCTCGAAGAGTGGCGCCAATATCTCATGGGGGCTAGGGAGGATTTCGAGATTTGGACGGATCACTCTAATCTCCAATATTTCCGCAAACCTCAGAAACTCAACCGACGACAAGCTCGGTGGGTTACCGAGCTAGCGGAATACCAGTTTACCCTACACCACAAGCCCGGGGCTCAAAACCGAAAGGCAGACCTTCTATCTAGGAGGGCAGACCACGATCAGGGTAAAGGAGACAATCGAGACGTAGTAGCGCTCAAGGCAGAGCACTTTAGGGCCCTCATCATGCCCACTGCCGAAGAATTGCACGAGCGCATCAAGGTGGCAACTCACGATCCTCGTCGCTGGGACCGAGGGATCTCCGACTCACTGAACCATGAGAAGGGCGTTTCTCGCGACCAAGACCTGTTATGGTATGACAGACAAAATCTATGTACCCGTAGACCGTGACCTTCGAGGGCAGATCATAGCCCTGCGGCATGATCACGCAACCGCCGGGCACCCGAGGATAGAAAAGACAAAAGAATTGATCCTTCGAGATTACTGGTGGCCCAGAATGCGTTCTGAAGTAGAGGCGTACGTCAAGGGATGCGAAGTCTGCCAATGAACAAAGGCAGATCGCCGACCGAAAAAGGCCCCCCTTCACCCGAACGAAGTCCCAGATCGACCATGGACACACATTTCGGTCGACATGATCACCAAACTTCCGGATTCCAAGGGAAATAACTCCATTCTCGTCCTCGTCGACAGATTTTCTAAAACCATCATCCCCATCGCGTGCACCGAGGAACTATCTTCCTTAGGATTTGCAAAAATTCTACGGGACTACGTTTACGTGCCTTACGGAGTGATGCCCGAAAAGATCATATCTGACAGAGGAGCCGTCTTTGTATCCAAATTCATGAAAGAATTCTATGCCCTTCTTCATGTAACCGGGAACCCTTCCACAGCGTATCACCCTCAGACGGATGGACAAACCGAGAGAGTCAATCAAGAAATTGAGAAGTATCTCAAAATGTTTGTTAGTTATCGCCAAGACGATTGGAGCGATTGGTTACCCCTTGCCGCATTCACTCACAATAACCGAAAACACTCGGCCACGGGTTTCTCCCCGTACAAGGTAGTTTTCGGACGTGACGGGCAAGTGATCAAGGCGGCGCAACGTTCAGACGCAGTACCGGCTGCCTCAAAACTCGTTCAAGGGATTCAGGAAGTGCAGGAGAAGGCGAAAGAGTCGCTCGAGCGAGCGGCAGAATCGATGAAGAGGGCTTATGATAAGCACAAAGGGAAGGCACGGAACTACCAAGTCGGCGACAAGGTGTGGTTGGATTCTACCAACCTAAACCTTCCCCGTCCAACGAAGAAATTGGGAGATAGGAGGGTAGGACCCTTCGCAATCGTTGCCAAGAAAGGAGCGTCAGCGTACGAACTGAAACTCCCTACGAAATGGCGCATTCATAATCGATTCAACGAGTCCCTATTAACGCCGTACCAAGCTCCGGAATTCCCCAATCAACCACGACCTGAACGACCGCCCCCGGAACTAATCGACGAGGAAGAAGAATATGAGATCGAGGAGATCGTTGGAGAGAGGGATCAAGTTATTGGTCGCGGGTGAACTCGTCGCACCATTACAGAGTATCTGGTCAAATGGAAAGGATATCCGGCAGAGGAAAACTCATGGGTAAAACGTTCAGACATGGCCCACGCCGAAGACCTCGTCAATGACTATGAAACCCGAATCCAAAAAATGATTTGGACGGTAAACAACAAAGGGAAGACAATCGGATTCGACGACAAGATACCACGCAATCTGCCCGTCGAATACCATGATCCCGATACCCCATGTGTCACCGACATCGAAACCGTGTATTCCTCGGAGTGTACAAATCCAAAACACTCTGACACCCAACAAGACTCTTATCCCTCTTCCGAAATCATCGACGTTATTGCCCTTCCCGACGACAATCCCGACGAAGAAGAAGAGGTGAATCTCCAAAACCTTGAACGTATCCGGGAAAATTGGGACACGGAGACCAATGGAGATGACGACACAGATGATGATACCTGGTCGTTCTACTCACAATCACGACGATCCACCTCAAGTGGTGATGCAGACTCAAACAACTCGTTCCAAACGAGCGCGGCCTAGAGGGGCCATTCTTTACGGTGTAGAAGGGGATTTCCACCGCTCAATCACGAGCATTGAACCCTTAGGGATCGCGGATCCCGACAGACAGTTGAGGCCTAACCGGCGCAAGGCAGCTCAGGAAGGCTAGGAACCTGAGTCCAGGGGGAGAGAGGGTCAGAGGCCGAACGCACCGAGTGGGTTTTTATGGCGTAGCGGAGGTCCAATCAATCCTGTTTTAAAGCAGAAGGGAGCCCCTCAATTCGCTTGTGTGGAAGGAAGGAGACATATTCTCATTCGGGACGAATGAGTCTTAAGGAGGGGGTAATGTTACGGTTATTCTTTTCTTTTTCTTTTTCTTTCCTTTTCTTTTCTTTTCTTTTCTTTAGTCAGCCGGATTACGCGACGCGCGATCATCACGGACTGACTGCGCAGTAGTATTTTTAGATTACTCACGTGTATTTAAGTAGAGCCTCAGCTGGTCTGAACCCCAGCTTCGGCTAAGGTTAATTCTACCTAACATCGAACTCCGTCCTTCGTGACTATCTGTCCCATCGACTTACGTCGCCTTTGACTTGCTAAAGCGTCGTCTACCGAAGTGCGAGTAGCGACCTTAGTACGATCTAAGTCGATTAGAGTTAGTGGCTAACAGTCAACTTGCCTCACGCAGTAGGGCCCTGGTAATGGCGGCGACACATACAGTAATATTCATTGGACAATATATTTTTTGAACAACTATAATTCCTGTGGCTAAAACAGAGAATACTGCAAAAATTGTCCCCTCACAGCGGTCAGAATGACCCCGTTCACTCGGAATCAAGGCATTGCCTTGGCAATAACTGTGACTCTGCCCAGCAATGATTTGTCAGGCACTGCGAGCAAGTGTTTTGCCGTTTGGCAGTGTAAGCCTTCGGTTTGACTTGTGCATCTTCCTACTTATCTGTTGGGATTTTGCCAGAAAGTTCTAGCAGGGGCAATCCGGCATCATGCCGGGAGTAGCTGTGTAAGTACGAGACTAGTAGAACAGTGTAGTACATTCTAGATTACAGTACGAAGTAGTATAAATACAGGCTCTGTAGGAGCCGGAGAATAACAAGTTCATATCAACTGGCCTTACCAGCCAGGAGTCTACCCTGCGCACCACCAAGGATTCCAGCATTATCTTATTAAAGGGAGCATACATGAAGGTCCCAGTATTAATAAGTTCTTAGCAGAGAAGTATTGGGCAGTGTCAGTGCCTCCGACTTTCAAGTCACCGCGAGTTCAATCCGCCGGCGTCCGATTGAACATTGCCCTATCCTTGGACACCAGAGTCTCGTAAATAGGCAGACAGAAGCAGGGCTTATAAGGAGAACACTCAGGGCTGACTACACTCAATAGACAATATTCCCTATCATATCCAACGGAACCAATCATCATCTCAAACCTAACCCCCCCCCCCCCATTTTGGAGTAGTTCTGGAATTTCAGACGAAAATAACATTTTTCTTTGTTCTCGGAGCGGTGTAGCGTGGTGTAAAAGTTTATCAACGAGTTCTATCAGGCATGATCCTGCCATCACACAGAGAACAAGAGATTTCGGGTGATTATACCCGTTTGACATTACAAGTGTAGAAATACAACCGAGCCGAGGCGTCTAAATAAAATAAAGAGACAAAAAAATAAAGAATATCGAGCTGCATGAATGCTCATTGTGCGGTAAAGATAATAGTAGAGGTAGAGGTGTAGGAGAAGACTGGGAGAGAGGTGGCAAGGAAATTAATGGATAGACATGCTTGAAGATAAGTAAAAGAAACGTAGCAACGAGGGTCCTTAAGAGTCCCATTCAGTTTTTCCCGAGGGCGGAGTCGTTGATGCGCCACCTGGAGGATATTGCAGGGGGCGAGTAGCGAACATAAACAACCATCTACCGCTACTGTTCCATGCCGTCGGAGTCGAACGGTGCTGGCGTCATGGAAGGCTGGTTCTGCGTCGTGTCAACGGCGTCATCGACAGCCATGGCAGTAGAAGTAGAAGCGACAGGCCCCGACGATGCAGAGGACCCAGCCTCCGTCGGGAGGTTAACTGCCAGATTGGTGAGAGTGATGATGACCCCATCGAGAGCCAGGGACTCGGGCGTGTGGACAATGAGAGGCGAGAAATGATCGCCATGAACGGCCCTCTGATGGCGGACCACAGCGCATCTGCTGCCAGCTTGGAAGGTGCAGTAGGGGGCGTTTTGGCAGATGTACACCTGCCTCGAGCACCTCTGGCGAGGTGAGGAGCTAGGTGGGAATACTGTTGAGAGAAAGAATTGGGGGAGAGGCAGGGAACGTACTGGTATCTTTGTTCATGCGCCAGGTAGAGGGCTCTGAGGTTGGTAGAGAAACGGCACCGGTGGCAATTGAAACGGCTATGGAAAATGGTGTGCGAGAGTGGAGTGACAGGACAAGGGCCGATCGCACCTGTTTTCGTCGTTGAGGGGGCGACGAGCGCGCCTCAAATTATTGTCGGGGCGAGAAGGACGCTTGTCACGGTTGGCGTTGATCAGGGTCATGTCGCAGAGAGAGGAGGGAGAAGTGGGTGGCAAGGTGGGTGGTTGATGTTGACATGGGCTGGACATGCGGGCTTTTTATACGTCCGGGGCTGACGAATTGGTGTTGAATTGGTTGACGATTTTCTTCCTTATAAGCCGAGTGTACAGTCGAGTGGCAACCAATTCGCAGAAATATCCGTTCTGGGAAGGCAGAGCGAATTGGTTCTGGTTTTTGCCGTGTTCGCCACGGCCAGAAAGGAATAATAGCGTGACGGGCAGATTTGGGGGTGCGGAGCTGGACCCTGATGAAATTGTCGTCCTGTGAAGCGAGGGGATGCTATAATATTGCTTCTCGCGTCCTCGGACATCTTCTAGCTTCACGGGTAAGGATAAAGACGGAAAGACGGCGTATGAAGAAGACCAAAAAGTTCAAGAGGCGGAGTCTTTGAGGTACATGAATAGCTGAGTCTCCAGTCCCCAGAGTGACTACAGGTGACAGAATAACGCTAATCGCAGTTCTTTAGCATTAAAGTTCTTTGGGAGCACTGACAAGCAAGAACGATTCACGTCCACGATCCGGGAAACATAGATGAGAATTGCGCGGCATATCACTCGGTTGTCGATTTCACTACGAACACGAGTAGAATGTGAGGGGGGAAGATCTTTCGACTCCATTTCAAGAATAATCGCCATATCGTAGGTATTGTCTTAATTGTGCAAGCCTAGGGATACCAACGCTCCGGAAATAAAAGTGCAGCTTATCTATTTTGCTCCTCCGTGGGGTTGTTTAAATGATACCGACGAGGGGCACCTGAGAAAAGTTCGACTACGGGCCTAATGTCTTCCGCCATGTTAAATATGACATTCTAGAAGATGACGAGATCAAGCATACCTTGAGAGGCTTCAAGACTCTCGTTGTGAGATAAGGGCACCAAAAACGACCGCAATCAACGCCATAAGAAAGGCAAACACGACGAACACAAATCCCCGCGCGACAGGAAACAGACCTCGGGTCAGATACGTCTGTACAGAAAAAAACCTAATGACCGCAATGATGAGAAGGACGATGGCGAGTACGATGGTTGCTGCGCCTATTGGACGAGCGTATATTTGGATGCGTCCTGGATGTATCGAGGAGATACTGAAGAATTGAACAAGCGCCACGCCTGCCGACGCCAGAGCAAGGCTCGTACGGATGTATGCCAGGAATGTACGTTCCAATGCGAGGTGGTCCCTGGCTACGCTGCCACTGTTCTGCAAGGTAAGGCTGATCTTTGGCATTCCTCCTGTTCCGAGGTAGCTCAGTATGCGTTCAGGCTGCAAACTGGAATATTACTCACGAAAATTCTATCCGTCGTCGTCGTTGAGGCCAAGTCGGAGGGCAGGCTCATCGCAGAGGTCGTCTCCTAGCCTGATGACAGAACATCACTCAATGAATAAATTATTGCAGCTTTGGTTCCGCGATAGTGCGATGCCAGAGCACGTGGGCATTCACCTTCCTTTCTGACGATCATGACCTCTGCTCAACGACACCGCCGCGCCAGCATCCCTCCCATACCTGACCTCCGTTTTGAGACGGCGTATCTGAGCAAGATACGGCCTTTTGTTCACCTTGAACGAGTGTCGGCCCCCCGCGAGGCTTCGGATGACTTTGAGACTGTTGGCGACGACATCTTATATGGGAACGAAGGAGAGCAGCCAGCAAGAGAGGTGCTGAAGATTGATTGGAAGAACGTCTTATGGGTGACGTTCCGGGACCAGGTGCTGACTATGTGGGTGCAGGGTGCGCTCTGGTGCGTCTATCTCAGTACTTTGCTGTTTCTCTTCTTGATTTCTCTCAGGGCCATCGTCGGCTTTTACCTACGGCCAATATACACCCAAGCTGGGAAGAGATTCAAGCGCAAAGAGGGCGGAGCCGTGTCGTGGCTGAGGAACTGGGTCAAGCAGCTGGGCCTGTCCACGAGCACTGACCGAGCAAGATAGGGTGTATCATTATCATCTAAGCTGTACTAAATTCCATTCATTCACCCACATATACCTCGAAAACAACACATACAACCACCGAAACCAGACCAACTGGCTTTTGTGTGCCCGCATCGCTCGATGGGCAGTCAAATACTCTTTCACTCCTGCTACAAAGACCGGCATTTTATCCGTCTGTCCCGGCGCACCTAAGAAGCCTGCGATACCATATAAAAGTTTCGTACTGGACAAGTCAAATTTGGCCAGCAGAGGAGTGAGAATTCCGACATATTTCGTTGACGTGGGGACGCTAATTAAAGCGAAGAACTTGGGAAGAGGTTGTGAGGCTGTTGTCTCGATGAAATGCTTCACGCCTTCTGGTAGCGACCGGTGGTTTGGATGTCCAGAAATGCCCGCTCGGTCAAACGTCAATATCTACTGTTCGATTAGAATTTTTCTGAGAAAATATCGGTTTCGCAACGCACCGTAGTAATCTCCAAGTCTGATACGTAGACGTCCAGGATATCTGAGATGATGTTAGCATCCCAGGATGCAGTGATGTTATCCTGGAGAGTACTGACAGAGTAAGCAATGAGGAATATGCATATACTTTCAAGTAAACCTACGGGTGATCAACAACATGTCTATTTCCTTCCTTTACACCAAGAACGTCCAAACTTTCCATCAACTCTGCTCTCCGAATATCTCCCAGACCGTCGGCATTTCCTGTGGACAGCGAAAGAACGTGGACCTGGGCATGAGGCAGCAGAGAAATAATGGTGGGCGCAAAGAACATGCACTCGTCGTCTGGATGGGCGGTAAGAAATAGGATGTTTTCTTTCTTTAGTGAAGGAAGATTCAATGCATTCTCAGTTGCTGTAGGAAGGTATAAGATAGCGCATAGCAAGGGAATCAGAGCAGCGAGAATGATGTTTGTTGTCAACATGTCTTGCTCTGTGCGGGCCGAGCACCGGAAACTGAAGGGTGGCTGGCGTATATTGTGCTTCGTCTTTAAAAATGTATTATGCAGCACAATAATTCACATCCGTTGGATTGAGAGGACTGCGCTACGATCAGATGGGTTTAGGTACGTTTTCGTTGCCCGCGAGCGTTTGAGTGATTTGTGCCAGTAGTGAAGTTGCAGAATAAAATGAGAAAAGTATAGAAAGTCTAGGACAGCAAGGCACAGTTCAAGCTTTCAAATTTCAAGGGGCAAAGGAGATCCTTAACGGCGGAAATGGGGATATGATTTACGATGGGTATCAACATGAGAAGCAGAGCCAATATATATAGGCAGGGAACGCATCCACTGAGAATTTTTGGAGAAAAATGGGTCGGTACGCTGCTCGCTCACTGGCGAGAGTCACGACCCTTTCGTTGCCTGAGAATAAACTCTTTGTACGAGCGTCAGAAATATGTGATGTTGAAAGAATTTACGGCATATGCTCACCTCTGGCTTTTCCTAGTTAGTAGGATTTTTCCTCGGCCACAAGCGCCCCAAAAACAACAGCGATAAGAGCTACGAGAAAGGTGGATATGACGTAGACGAATATTCGCGAAACCGGGAATAAGCCTCGCGTCAGGTGCGTCTGCACCGAGAAGAACCGAATGACGCCAACGACGAGAAGAATGATGGATAGGAATACGGTGAGTGCACCTATTGGGCGAGCATATGCTTGTATCCTCCCCAAGCTTGTTGAAGCGATGGTGCAGAATTGTACCACTGCCACACCAGCCGAAGCGAGCGCCAAGCTTGTGCGAACGTAAGATAGGAAAGTGCGTTCCAGCGAGAGGTGGTCCCGAGCTACGCTGCCATTATTTGCCAGGACAAGACGTATTTTCATTGTTTCTGGCGTTTTTGGATATCAGCATCGAGTGCTATAGAATGGGGAAGGTTTTGACTCACTAATTTTGTGCTGGCAGTTATAAGGTGTCGGATGGGACGACGGCGACTCAGATATTGCGGAGTATAGACGGCATAGTCGGTGATGTGTGGAATACCAGAAGGTACCTTGAACATCAAAGGCGCTTCGAAGACCGGCCATCCAGTCACCCATGAGTACCCGTGACCTTCGAGGGTCAGCTCGAGCAGCAGCAGAGACTCCCAAGCGGGGACATTGAATGAAATTTGTATACCCGTAAGTCGCTGTCACGATTTAGGCACGAACTTTGCTTCGATCATGGTCTGCAAAAGACTCAGGATTTGAACCGCGTTGAGTAAAAATACCGCAGAGATACATGGACTGTTGACGCAGTCCACTGTTCGAATTGCGCCTTCGGGACGTGTGACCGACATTTTTAAAAGCTTGCGGTAGCGAGTGAGAGTAAGAGAAATAAATAGACAAGTGCCCGCCGCGTGCCGAGGCGTGTACGACCTTGCTGGACTTCGGCAAGCAAACGGCAAGACACGCTACCTTGTCTCAGGTCTGTCAACCGGCAATTTCCGTAACTAGAAGTTGACTGAATGTTTTCAGAGTTTAGTGAGGAGTTTTGGAGCCCACTTTGACGTGTGGTTCCGAGTCCTATGTATATAGGATACTCGGTTATTATGCTGTCCTGAACTGATCGTGGGAAAAAATCTATTTGGGGTATCAATCCATCACGGCATTTGCCGACTTTGCTACCTGAGCAAACCGTGGGAATATTTCTATTTGTTCACGGCAATTGCCGTCCTCGCTGCCTGAGCTCATCGTGGGAACCTTTTCTATTCATTTGCCTCTACTTACTCTCATTATTCCCATCTTTTCCCGTCCGTCCATCCATTCTTTACCGATTGGCACTCAATTATTTTCTCTCTTCTTGTTCTTCAGCCCATCTTCATCTCCGGCATTCAAGGTCTCTCTGCTTCCAAGATTGAGACTCTTTGCAATGATGTGTTATTTGAGAAGAAAAAGATCACCATTGAGCAGCACGGATTCTCACCCTTCCAGCGATGGTACCGCAAGATTGCAAGCATGAAGAATCGGCAAAGGACCATTGCTTGGAAGCCTGGCAAACCTTTCATGTCGGAGAACCTCTTTTTCCGGACCATCAATATAGGTCGTCTGTTGCCTACGAGTCTCATGGATTCTAGGGTCCAGATGTACGTGATGAAGGGGCTGTGGGCTTATATGGAGTGGTATGGGAATACGGTGAGTTGCACTAATATCAGTTATATCACAATCCTTGGGCTGGTGCGTCGTTTCCATGTCTTCTTGTCATGGTTGACTCAACCCCTGTGTACTAGATGCACCATATGCTGGTTTTCCAGAATATGCACGATTTTTCGGGTGGCGACATTCCAATTATATGCAGACTGATATAAGGAACTCGAGGATCCTATGATGGATTACTGGGTAGAGCTGAATGCTGATAAATGGACGAAGAAAGAACGCGAGATGAAATGTGTGTAATCCTTGCTATGCTGATTCTCCATTCTCCGGCTGAACCCAAGCGTTACACAGTCTGTCAAGTCGCCGCCACAGTACTCGGTCGTAACTCTTGCTTCTACCAAGTCAACCTCTGCACCCGTGCCCTCCTTCTCGACAAAGAGGTCGGCTATGTCTGGCCATTCACCATCATCTTAGAGACTAGGAAGGGCAGTGAGTATTATTCCTATTTTCTTCTTATTCTGTCATGGTTTATCACCTACCTAGGCAAGGCTCGTGCGCTCTTTATTCGCTCCTCCCACTACCCCCACTACCCACCATCCTCCATCCTCAACACCCTGCCAAAAAATGTGGAAGCGCCACTTGCATTGACTCCAAGTGCATCGGAATGTGGTGTATCGAGGACTGCCGGGGCCTCCATTATCCAAGCTTCATGGCCCAAGAGCTCCAGCACTATGAAGACGGAGTTGTGTGTAATCTTTGGGGATGTGAAGTGGTACAGAGGAGTCTGATGCAGTGTATTTTTGTACACATCTGTTATAGTTATTAGTCCATGAATTCAATTATTATTGTTATGTTTTACTTTTATTTTTCTGAGAAAAAAAACCATAGGACTCGGACCTGCCATGCGGATGCGTTGGCCCTCACCAACTAGTGAGTAGAGTACAGTGTATTTAGAATGTAGCCACATATAGTAAATAAGGATAAATGATGAAAGCATCAATAAAATCATGCGAGCCACACGAACGCTGTCTTCCTCAACTTCAGTCACCACTGACAGCCTCATACCTATCTCTTCACATGAAACTCTATCAAGTAAGTCTTTTTTAATCAGTTTCAGGATGTATCTGCTTACTGGGACTTGATAGCATGCTCACAATAATGATATTCAAGGCGAAATCAAAAAAGGCTGGGAGTAAGTTGTCTGGGCACGGGGGGCACAAATGGATACTGACGACAGGGTGTAGGAGTGCTGTTAAGATGATGTGAAAGATCTACTACAAGCTCAGATGGTAGTCTGGCCGGGGTCCGGTTCGGTCCAAGTTCAGGCACATTTGCCTGAACCTCGAACCTGCACCTCCAGGTTCGCTCCCCAACCCCCCGAACCTCGAACCTGAACCTCAGGTTCAGGTCCACAAGGTTCGGTCCAGATTCGAACCCAGTTCGAACCCGGTCCAACAGTTTTTTTTTCATTGTGTATCACAAACCATGTATATAAAAACAATCACTAAACTACATGGATCAATGACTACATTGAAGAGTCCCAGTCTGCCTCATCAAAACAAGGTCCAGTATCCATCCACACTTCATTCTGCACACTTATGCATCCATCTCGATAAGCTTCCTTCAAATGCTGCAGCGTCCCAAACTTCTTGGCACCAAGGTTTCGACGGCAAGGATCAGAATCAGTATGCCCTGCATATGAGAAAGCATGCTCCGATGATGTAGAAGATCCAGGGATGGCGAGATAATCACGGGCCATAGCAGACAGCACCGGATACTTGTCTTGGTGAATCTGATTCACACAAATTAGTCATATGAACTTCAATACAAGGACACAACATACACCCCACCACACGATAATGTCTTCACACAATGCCCGGTTCACTGGCTTGCTATACATGAATTCCTCAAGCTCTGCTGTTGGGCTCGCCAGCTCAGAAGGAACTGAAGCCAAGTTCTTGTGGATTAGCTCGTCAATCCAACTGTCAGTTGTCATCAACACTATCATAGTAGGACTTGCAAAGATGTAATTACAGTGCTGAACGTGGTGGCTTGAACCTTATATTGCCCGACTATATAGTTACCCCAAAATGAGACCACGATTCTCTGTATTAAGTAGTATTACGAGAGGAAATTTAGATTTATAAACTCACCTGTACACTCGCAAAATTTGCACGAATTATTTGGAGGTTCAGCAGGTTTGAACCTGGTCTGGACCCAGTGTGCAAATTTTGGCCAGGCTGAACCCCACACCTGGACCTTGATGGCTGTGCTGAACCTGAACCTGAACTGCACCTGGACCTGTGGGTTCGGTTCAGGTTTGGACCAGGTTCATGCAGTCCTGCACTGGACCATGGCCAGACTATCAGATGGGGAAGAAGTATGTAGACTCCTCCTGCTCCCTCAAAAACGTACTAATTTTTGTTAGACCTTACAAAGTGGGGCACCTTCACCGTCAAGATTTACAAATTGTGGAGGTTGGTCTGACGAGCATGAATAGTGTTGATGGTGTTAGGCGGATCACTGCAGGCACGACACCCTTGATTGAGAACAATGCCCCTTTCACTCCAATCATCAAAAAATTACATGTGATATGCCCAGCAGCTGCTGATGAATATCCAATTGTTATACGTCTTCTGCTTATAAAGGATGGAAAGCCTCTGGCTTTCACTACCCATTTTCTCTCATCAGCAAAACCCAGAATTAGTCTTTCCGGGCTTGGTCTTTTTCTAGCCCTCTTTCTGCCTCTTTTTCTTGGGTGATCGAGTCTTGGTCTTGGCAAACTGGTTCTTCTGTGGCTTTCTGATCTTATCGATTGGAGCGGTCTTTGAATGACCTTGCAGTTGGTATGTATACGGATTGAAGTTAGATATTGCAATATTGAAGCCCATGCACATCCGTCATGGTGATGTTGCAGCATTGCAGCAGTGCAGCCACTTGCAGATGGTGCACGGAATGGCAGGGAATGGCGGAAAAGCAACAAAAAATCTTCTAAGTTCTTTCAAACTCTGCCCAGGCATGTCTGGAACATGTCAACGTCATGTTGGACTTTAACTCAGAGTCCGAATTGATTATTCCCTCCCTCCTCTCTCCCTCACTTTACTGCAACTCGATACCGACGATGGGGCCATTGGGCATGTACTGGTGGTATGAGGGCAAAGGTACAGGTGTCTCTCATTGAATTGACTATATCTGATTCTCGTATTTCCTTCCAGGCTGCCGTCATTGCCAACAGGTGAGAAAAGAAGGGGTACGACCCAACACCTCATCATCCCTTGCTGCTGAACTGACCAGAGCTGTAGATGGATGTGTGCAGACCAAGGAGAGGGCTGTTGTGAAGACTAGGATGGTGGCCATCCAGGAAGGGATGTGCCGGAGGGTGCATGCTTCTTCCATTCCCCCATATAATTATTCACCATTGTATTTTGTGTCGGTTAGACTGCTTAGCTGTTGTTCTCTCTTCTGCGGTGTGTTTTCTTTTGACAATCTGATGCAATACTGATATATTCCTAGCACTGTCATGCCATCGAAATCACATTCTTATCCTTCCTATAGGTGCCCATTCTTGCAACATCTCTCTCATTATGTCATGGCTTCATTCCTATCTCTGAGGCAGAAAGGGTCGTAGTGTTAGCATTATGTGCTATAGTTCACTGTCATAGATAGAAATCAATATACTAGAATTTCTATATCCTCCAAAGCCATTGGAACATGAAAGAGAAAGAAACAAAAGACAGGAAGATGTTCTCTTCCTAAGACAGCGATAGATCTTGCCAAGGCAAAATCCTTCTTGACGAGAATATGTACCTTACTTGGTAAAGACCCTTGATCTTCTTGTCTTTGCCGTCTTTTTGGTCTTGTGCAAGACTGAAAAGACGCAAAAGACAACTTCTGGGTTTTGCTGATGCTCTGGCACTTTCAAAAATACTAATTATCGAATGTTGGGAATAGGGACCGATGTCATGCATGCGAAAGAGACATGTTAGCCACTAACTCAAATCGACTTAGATCGTACTAAGGTCGCTACTCGCACTTCGGTAGATGACGCTTTAGCAAGTCAAAGGCGACGTAAGTCGATGGGACAAGTAGTCACGAAGGACGGAGTTCGATGTTAGGTAGAATTAACCTTAGCCGAAGCTGGGGTTCAGACCAGCTGAGGCTCTACTTAAATACACGTAAGTATTCTAAGAATACTACTGCGCAGTCCGTCCGTGATGATCGCGCGTTGCGTAATCCGGCTGACTAAAGAAAGGAAAAGAAAAGAAAAGGAAAGAAAAAGAAAAAGAAAAGAATAACCGTAACATTACCCCCTCCTTAAGACTCATTCGTCCCGAATGAGAATATCTCCTTCCTTCCGCACCAGCGAATTGAGGGGCTCCCTTCTGCTTTAAAACAGGATTGATTGGACCTCCGCTACCCCATAAAAAGTCACAACGATGGGTTCGGCCTCAGACCCTCTCTCCCCCTGGACTCAGGTCCCAAAACTTCCTGAGCCACTTTGCGCCGGTTAGGCCTCAATTGTCTGTCGGGATCCGCGATCCCTAAGGGTTCAGTGCTCGTGATTGAGCAGTGGAAATCCCCTTCTACACCGTAAGAAATGGCCTCTCTAGGCCGCGCTCGTCTGTGATGAGTCGTTTGAGTCTGTCTCGCCACTTGTGGTTGAGTGGCGCGACTCTGAATAAAAAGACCAGGCATCATCATCTGTGTCTTCCTCGTTATCGGTGTCTGAATCCCAATTTTCTCGTATACGTTCGAGGTTTTGGAGGTTTATTTCTTCTTCTTCGTCTGGGCAGTCATCGGAAAGAGCAATATGGTCAATGATTTCGGGCGAGGAATAAGAGTCCTCGTCGGTATCCGAGTGTTTGGGGTTTGTGCACTCGGAAGAATACACAGTTTCGATGTCGGTGACACATGGGGTATCGGGATCGTGATATTCAACAGGCAAATTACGTGGTATCTTGTCGTCGAATCCGATTGTTTTCCCCTTGTTGTCCACCATCCAAATTATTTTTTGGATACGGGCCTCGTAGTCGTTGACAAGTTCCTCGGCGTTGGCCATGTCGGAACGCTTTACCCACGAGTTCTCTTCTATTGGATATCCTTTCCATTTGACCAGATACTCCGTGATGGTGCGGCGGGTTCGTCCGCGACCAATAACTCGATCCCTCTCTCCTGTGATCTCCTCGATCTCGTATTCTTCTTCGTTGTCGATCAGTTCCGGAGGGGGTCGTTCAGGTCGGGGCTGATTGGGAAACTCGGGCGCCTGGTATGGGGTTAAAAGGGACTCGTTAAATCGATTATGGATGCGCCACTTCGTAGGGAGTTTCAGCTCGTAGGCTGATGCTCCCTTCTTGGCCGTGATCGCGAAAGGTCCTACCCGCCTGTCCCCTAGTTTCCTCATGGGGCGAGGGAGGTTTAGATTGGTGGAATCCAACCATACCTTATCACCGACTTTGTAGGTTCGCGCCTTCCCTTTGTGTTTATCATAGGACCTTTTCATCGATTCAGCTGCTCTTTCTAGCGACTCCTTCGCCTTTTCCTGCACCTCTTGAATCCCCTGGACAAGTTTGGAGGCAGCCGGTACTGCGTCTGGGCGTTGGGCCGTTTTGATTACCTGCCCGTCGCGTCCAAAAACCACCTTGTAGGGGGAAAAGCCCGTGGCGGAGTGTTTGCGGTTATTATGAGTGAACGCGGCGAGCGGTAACCACTCGCTCCAATCGTCTTGTCGGTAGTTGACAAACATTTTGAGGTATTTTTCAATCTCTTGATTGACCCTCTCCATCTGTCC